AAGCACATGGTTTTCAAGAAACTAATAGAAGGAGACGACAAAGGAAAATTTGGCCATGGTTAGAAAAAGATGGAATCAAGAAGTAATTAGAGAACCTGAGTAAGCTCCTCGTGGTGGAGACGACCCACTGTTGCTCTTGAAAATAAAGGTCTTGTAAAGTTCCAGGGTCTATTTGCAGGACCCCAGTGGATCCTGACTTCCACAAAGACCTGGAAGGTACTTGATAGCTGCTTAAACTTAACAACATGATTTTAAAAAACCAAAAATCAATCCTGCCAAGTCTTCAGTTTTAGAAGAGATCTGTCAAAATTATTAGCCATTCTGCTATTAACATTTCAAGATACAGTTAAAGGTATGTATTACCCATGGGAAGATTGAAGACTATTAAAAAAAACAACACTTCATTGGAAGCTAAGAAAGAAACATATTCCAAGGGTCAAAAAGAGTAGGTGTTGTTCAAAACATACCAGAATGGTAACTGAGAAAAATTTGCACAGACGTTTACAGGATGTCATTTATTAGTTTTAATTTTCTGTCCGAGTTATTTTTAAGGGTTTTGTTTAGTGGTGAATCTGTGGAGCACACCTGCTCACTTAGTTTCCTGGGGATGCTATTTTGAGCAAGGCTGAACTTTCTTTTATTCTCAGATTTCTACCAGTCTACTCCCTGCTGGTCAGCGTTTGCTAATCCTCCAGAGGAGATCACTCTTCCTCCTGTGCTTTCTAACTCTACAGTACACAGGTCCCCACTTTCTCCTGCTCCCCTACAGACTCAGACTCTAGAGTAACACTTGTGTGCCTCTGTCCTTTTCAATGCTTCATCAGTATCTCAGTGGGACAGAGGAAGACAGTGGAAGCTGGAGGCCTGGAGGTTATTAGGTGGAAATACAAGAATCCTTTATTACAGAGTTTACCAAAGCTGTATTTCTTGCAATGTTATTCTAGGAAGAGTTAATCAGATTGCCCCAGTTCTAAATTTCCCCTCTGGATATTCAAAATGAGAATTAACAAAGTAATGGCTCTGAGAAGTCCTCAGTAAAGAAGCCAGGTTATTTAAATGTAAGCTGCTACTGGAGGAGAGGACAATTTACAGCTGTTTCTCTGCCCTAGGTCTGCCAATATAGGCCAGAGGACTGACCATTAGGTTTCCTTTCTAGTTCTCTTCATGGAGCCACCTGTTACCTGGACTGACTGGTTTTTGGATTTCAAAGGTGGTTTTCCATTTCCCTTTAGTAATGAAGAAAACAAACTATTAAGTCCTATTATGCATCATACCACTATCACTTCACCATTTGCTTTAAATATGTAGCCTTGATGTTAGACTTTTTCTCTTGATGAGTTACTCGTGTGTGTGTGTGTGTGTGTGTGTGTGTGTGTGTGTGTGTGTGTGTGTGTGTGTGTGTGTGTGTTTGTGGAGGGGTGTTATAGCTGGGCAAGGGGATAGTCTATGCAATCAGTTCTACTATTTACCATGCAGTCCCACTGCCCAAACTAACAGATCCACAGGCTTCTGCCAGACAGGTAGGGCTAAGGGAGTTCTCTTCTCCACCCTCTGCAACCACCATGCGTGATCAATCAGTTCTTCATCCCAATATCAGTATGCTAGAGCAGTAGTGGTAAAGTGTAGGATAAGGCTGCCCTGGGTAGCCTGACATGTAGGGCCTTTGTGGAGGCAGGGGACCAGGAGGTACAGGACATTTTTCACACTGGGATGAATGTCCCAGATTCACTTTCTGTCCTTCATGTATGTACTCTCCCATTTTCCCTTGTCTGTTCACCAGTGTTTATCTCTTGAAGGCCTCTTCTGATCTTTATTCTAGTCACTTCTTGAGTCCTGGAAACCTTCAAGACTTGTAGGCCACAGCTATCCATGTTCCTGTCATTTCTGCTGATAAGCAGAGGAAGAGTTCTAGTACAAGGGGGAAACATCTGTGATGATCTATGCCAATCAGAGAATCTTCTACCTGTGAATGACTCTGGATCTTTAGGGAGCCCTAAACACTTCCATTTAGAGGACTGCTTACCTGGTAATATTTGGTATTTGAAAGCTTTTGGGTCTCAACATGCAAAAAGAATTATTTCTCCAGCTGGATGCTGGTGGTTCACACTGAAGTAGGGATACTGAATCTAACCGGCACCATCTTGGCCACATGGTAGATAATAAGGTACTGGGTTTAACTGGCCATCTTGTCTTCATGGTGGAGGCAGGGAAGTCCCGCCTCCTAGGTGGTGGGCATATCTGATTTCCTAGAGGCAGTGGCGGGGACTTGGACAATAGGTTATTGGACCTGCCAGTCTTGGTTCATGAACTATCAAGCTCCCTGTGACCCTGCCCCCTGACCTGACCCTATCTACTCCCTGACCAGTGGATCAGTTCAGGTGTGGGTATGCCATGCCATGTGTCTCCTGCCCGCTTATGTCCTGTCTCCTGGCTCTCTTCAGGTCAACATGGCATCCCACATTAGCTCTCCATTAGAGCTGATCTGGTTTGTTGGCATTACTTTTCTGTTCTTTCTTTCCTCTCCTGCTCTCATGGTTTAGTTTCCTGACATGTTAAGTATATTCTCAGGGCTGCAGGTCTTTGTGATAAGAATCTGCCTGGCCTTCTAATAAAGACTCCTGATTTGACCTCTCAAACTGTGGCTTCTCTGTTTTCTTGCTGTACAATAACACTTGTAATCCTAGCTAGTGAGGAGGCTAAGATCCAGAAGATCTTGGTTTAAAGCTATCCTGGGCATAAAAGATTGTGTGTTCTTGGGGCTGGGAAGGTAGCTCAGTGGCAGAGCGCTTGCCTTGCATGCATGAGGCCCTGGGTTCAATTCCTCAGCACCACATAAGCAAAAAGAAAAAGCCACAAGTGGCGCTGTGGCTCAAGTGGTAGAGCGCTAGCCTTGAGCTGAAGAGCTGAGGGACAGCGCTCAGGCCCAGAGTTCAGGCCCCATGACCCAAAAAAAAAAAAAAAAGATTGTGTATCCAAAATAACCAGCAAAAATCAGAGCTGGAGCCATGGCTAATGTGGTAGAGTATAAGCCCAGCAAGCAAACAAGAACAAATGCAAGGCACTGAGTTCAAATACCAGTACCTCAAAAAAATATTTAAACAAAAACCACCCCCAAAATACTTTTCTCCTCTGGCTTAAATGATAAAACTCTCTGAGTTTTTTTTTTTTTTAATTTAAAGGTTACTCTTTCAAACTTCATGAATTAAAAAAAATCCATATTTATCCTGTTTATAAATCTCTTGTTTGGGCAGGGCTCTTCATGGAAGACCATTACTGGTCTGTGACATCTAGAGACTCAGCTGCTGAAATGTCTGGTCCCTGCACTGGGTCTGTACTGCCTGATGGACTCAGGTAGACACCTTTTTATGTATGTCTCAAAGTTCCAAGAACGAGTGTTGTGGGTGACCAAGGCAAAGAAATGAGGCATTTGGCCCAGCCTCATGTTAGCATATAAGATGGGCCCTGATTTGATGTGGGAGGCACTGCACAAAGGCGAGAATGAATGTCAGGAGATAGGGAATACGGGGCCACCACTTGGTAGGCTGGATACCACATACTCCTTCATCCAGCTTGAAAAGGCAAACTGAGTTTAAAATGAAAACGAGGCATCAAAAACTTTGGATGGCCCAGTATTGGTGGCTCATTCCTGTAACCTTAGCTACTCAGGAGGCTTAAAATCTGAGGATTGTGATTCAAAGCCAGTTTGGGCAGGAAAGCCCATGAAATTCTTATCTCTAGCTACCTGGGGGAAAAAATAGAACTGTGGCTCAAATAGTGGAGCACCAGCCTTGAGCGACAAAGCTAAGGTACAGCACCCAGGCCCTGAGTTCAAGCCCCTGTACCTGCATAAAAACAAACAAACAACCTGGGATGTCCATTAGAGAGAAGAGGTCAGGACTCATGTTTTTTCCCCCCTTATGCTCCTTCCAGCCACTGTGTTGTTTTCATTAAATGGACAGTTGAATGAGAGGCCAAGAGGGTCTGTGGTCAGCATTCGATTTTACAGAAAGGCAGTCATGTTAACCACCTGGGCTCTCAAAGAATCCATCTTAACTTGAACCTGGCTTTGCATATTGTACCCAGGCAGGGAACTCTGGATGCTGCTTGGAGAAGGGGTGTAAAGCATCCACGCCACTATGAAACCACAGCAACCCTAGATCAAGCTCCCAACTTCATGCTGAGCAAGAACAAAAAGGGAGACGTGGAGACTAATGATGCTTTGGTATGGGACAATAATGTCACATGCACTGAATGCCCTCCTCTTAAGTCCTTTTCAAAACCAATGATTCTGATGATTTTATTGCTCTGTGACAAAGCAGATCAAACTGACGTTAATTCCAAGGTCACTGTGAGTTGAAGATAAACCATATTAGTGACTGGGAGGATGCAGTTTGCATTTGTTAGGAGGGTGTAGGGAGGAGGCACTGCTGTGCAGTGTGTCCTTGTAAACATTGGTGCCAGGGCAGAGCAGTAGAGTCACCTTAGGTGATGCTAGATGGGCCCAAGTTCCTCTGCTTCCAAGTGGATGAAGCCATAGAGACTCCTTCCCAGTTTATATCTGCTAGGATATAATACACTACCCTAAAGAAGAATGGGTTCCAAGTTGACTGTTTCTCCTAAGATGATGTTGGTGGAGACCCTCTGTGTCCCTGCTCCCCTTCATGGTGGGCTCAGCCTTCACATGGAGGGCTACAGGACACAGGAAGGAAAGTGCTGCTCTCAATACAGATGGAATGGAATGCCAATGAAGACCAAATGTGTTATCTTTGCTTCCCGGCTCCATTTGCTTCAGGAAAGAGCTTTATAACTGCAATGATTAGATCATCTTCAAAACATACGGCTCTGCTCCTCCTCACCCCCGTGACTTCTCCCTGATTATTTCTATGCCTTATCCTGCTCTGTCACCCCTGTGGGTTGCCAAAGGAGCAAGGACAGCCGGTTAGCAATTTGGGGGGCAAGTCTTATCTTTGCAGTGGGTGCAAGTCAACTGCACCATCACATCCAATACATATTGCCATGATGTACTTGGAGGACTGGAAAAAGACCTAATGATTAGGACAGCACAACCACAAAGTGAGCAGGGCCCTGGGGGAGCACTGGAATGTTGGCAGCTGGGAAGCAGACCCTTTTGATTCTCCTCAGAGAGAGTCAATGGCACTGCTTAGCCAGTACTAAGGACAAAGATCTGGCGCCAGTATCACACTAAGCTATACAGACCTAAGCCTCACATAGGAGGGGCCAACACTGCAGCCTGGAGCACACTCCAGCAGGTGGTGGACAGAGAGGGCATCATGTCTGAGACATCGGTGGCTACATCTCTGCTGCCACCACCAGGTGTGCATTTATTTCTGTCCCCTACTGTCTCAGCCTACTCCCCACATCAGGTATCCTGACATGGTGTATGATGGGCCCTATTTTGTAGCGGCTCCTCCAGTCTCAGACCCTTGAGTCTTATCTCCCTGTTTCCTGGGGGCTGGGTCAGCATAGCAGCTCCTTGGGGTGAACACAGTGAGATGAGCAGAGCTGGCCTACTACTGCACAGAGGAAGGGTCCATGGTCAGACGTTTTCTAGAACATTGAGGGGGACAAGGCCTCTCTTCTTCCCGCTGAGGACTCTGATGAAGCCATCTTCTTCGTCTTCGTCTTCTTCTTTTTCTTCAGAAGCCACGCAAATCTGAATACCAAGAAAGAAGAAGCAATGCACTTTAGTGTCAATAGGGGGAACAAATGTGGGATGGTTCTGAAGAGAACCACTGTTGTGATGCTTCTCCCACACGTCTTCCTTGAGTAGATTATATCCTAGGTTGGACACAGAGCCTGGGATGGGGGTCTTTGTGGGAGTGCCTCATTGATCATGTTGTTAGGAGGTGGGAAGACAGGGCAGCAGGATAGGCAGGGGAAAAAGGTAAGTAAGAATGGGTACTGGGCTGGAGACAAGCCAGCCTTAGCCACAGGATTTCTAGAGCATGGACTGACCTAAAGCACTGTCTAAATTTCTGTCCTCATAGGGCCTGTGTCAATCAATACTGGATGTTGGCTGATGTGGTATAGTTGAGGCAGTATGGTACCTCAAGGTGTCTTACTGAGAAGGAGCTATGAGGGATTTTAGCGGCTAGAAAATGAATATGTCCACCTAGCAAGAAGGACATAGGCAAAACTCCAGCAGAAATCACCAGAGCAGGCTCTTCTGTCATACAGAATAAGAGGCTGGAGTAGGACCTGTAAAGAGGTTCATTTGTGACCCCTGGTGTTTGGGGACACATAATGGACTGGTTGTGCTTCAGAAATTTATTGTGTAGAAATCTACTTGAATGGAAAGAGGCTTAGTGGAACAATTAGGGGCCAGTGTAAGACCAGAAGCACAGAGGCTGGCTGACTTTCTTGGAGACCAAGTGACCGTGTGTGTGTGTGTGTGTGTGTGTGTGTGTGTGTGCAAGAGAGAACACAAATGAGTGTGTCAGGGGTCACACTGTCTCTAACCAAAGCCTGATGGGTACAATGACACCCCCCCCCAAAGGACCACCTAATTTTCAAAATCAGAGATCTGACTTTTCCCATGTCATAAATCATCAGAGATCATTGTGATGGGCAGGAAATATATGTTCTAAAAAAAACAAACCTCAAATTACCTCTATAGCCTGACAGAATAAATTTTCCCCACTGCAGCACCCAAAGTCAGTAAGTCCAGCCAGTCAGCAACAATGAAAAATCAGAACATCTATCCTGGTGCTTATTTTGTAAAGGTCAGGTAGAGCTGAAAGCCTTGCATACATCTGGAAAGACAAATACTCCCTGGCCCATCACAAGTATGATGACTGCAAAGGCCATGCTGGTTTTGCTCTCTGACTGTCCTGAGGATAACACTTCCTAAACTAGCAGCACAAAGCAGGAGTATTTAGGGAATGGATTGGTGGATGGAGAAAGGGCACTAGCAGGAATAGTAACCTGGGAACCTGACTGGTTTCCAGGTTACTGGTAACCTGACTGAGCCTAGTTCTTCAAGAAGTGATGTTTAAGCAGAGGGAGGTGTTATGGATAGGAAAACAAGACAATTTCAAGAATAAGTTCCCCTGTCAAGAAATTGTGGCACTTCTGGAGTAATAGTAAAAGTTCACTGTAGTCACGATAGAGATGGAGGAAGTAGGGAGTGGGAGAGGAAGGGAACACACCATCATAGTCTGGAATGTGCAGGAAATACCAGCCATTCAAGCCCCTTACCCCACCTTTGGGACCTATTTCAACAAGTACGTCTGGGAAGCAAGACAACCATTTAAAAAATCCCACTTGGAGGATGAGACCAGTTCAATGAATTCAATTAGGATTGGTGAAGTCACTAAGATACAGGCGAACAGCAGAATAAAACTCAAGGCTCTCGGAAGTGGTGCTGTGACTCAAGTGGTAGAGCGCTAGCCTTGATCTGAAGAGCTGAGGGACAGCGCTCAGGCCCAGAGTTCAAGTCCCATGACTGACACACACACACAAAAAGAAAAACGTCTAAAAACTCAAGGCTCTCTATCATGTGAAGAGGGCAAGCATGACCCCTGGCCACCAATCAGAAGGGTGTTAAAAGGGGTTGTAAGTGAAGAAATAAGACAGTCAGATTCGTTGCAAGCAGTAGTGTTTTCCCTTGCCTTCTCTCCTATCCTGTTCCTTCTCACTCTGCTTTCCTCTTGTCTCTTATCTTCCCATCCTTCCTTCTCCTTGTCTCTAGTCAGATTACTTCCTAAAGTTCTCTTTGCCTATCATTTAATCCAGCAATGATAGGTTGAATTTTTATACTATTTTTCTCTCTCTGACTTACCTGCTTCATCCCCTACCTACATTTTATTGTCTCTCTGCCTCAGCCAAATACATCTGTATGCTTCTAAGGACTTAGCAATTAGATGTGGCCCGGAATCTGGAATCCTAGACAGTCAAAGGCAATTTTCCATTTCCATTTCCACAACCCTAAATCACATCCACAAAGTACCTTTCACATGAAATCTGGATTCGTTTCCTATTAGTATTATAACAGATTACCACGGATTTAGTGGTTTAAAGCAACAAAGATATATTATCTTATCGTTCAGGAGGTCAGATGGAAGCTGTCAGGGAGAATGTGTGTCTTTGTCTTTTCTAGCTACTAGAGCCTATGTATCATCCTTGGCCCCTGGGCCTTTCCCTCATCTTCAAGGGCAATGGTACAGCATCTTGGATCTCTCACTTTCTCTCTGACTTCTGCTTCTGTCATCCCATCTACTTTTCTGCCTCTAATCTTCCTGTCTTGCTCTGATAAGAACCTTTGGATTTAATACTGGATTCACTCACAGCATCCAAGACAATCTCCTCACCAGAGACCCTCACCTTAATCATATCAACAACATTCCTATTGCTGTATAAGATATCATATTCAAAGATTAGGTGATGGGTAGTTTGGGGAAGTGATATTTTATGTAACAAGATGAAAGGATTAAAAACATTTCAGGAAATATGTACATATATCAGAAAAGATAACACCGGATTCAGCAGGATGAAAGAAGGAAGATTGTTCTTGATGTTAGAAGAAAAGAATCTCTTGATTTTCAAGGTGTCATAAGATGTAAAAAAATATACTGCAGAAGCAAGGAGAACAAGGAGAAACAACTACAAGAGAATAAAGGCTATATTAAAGGCTAAAGTATGAAGAAATAAAAGATTTAATTGAAACTTAAGAAAATCAAAGTGAAGTAGGGACTATGTTGAAAATTAAGAGGAAAAGGAGACAGATATTAAATGAAAAATGATAAAGAGATGAAAACTATTTGGGAAATAACATGAACTCTAGATGACCCAACTGAAGACTGAGTAAGCTCTGGAAGAAGGGGTATTTTTTAATACATTTTTTTTTTATTGTAAAGATAATGTACAGAGGGGTTACAGTTACATGAGTAAGGTAATGAATACATTTCCTATTGAGCATTGTTATCCCCTCCTTTGTTTTTTCCCTACCATCCCTTGGAGGAAGAAGTATTAAAATCGAAAGGCAAATAATAAACTAGAAGAAATGTTGGCCACAGATGACAGACCAGGTATAAATATTTTGAAAAGATAGAAAACTTTTTTTAAATACTGTAAGAAAATGGGCAATGTACATAAACAGATTATTCAAATGCCCAATAGATATGCTACAAAATTTTGAGCTCTTACAGTACCCAGGAAATGCAGAATAATATATATTCTTCAACTATTAGAATGATATATATCAAATCTAGTTATGTTTACTTAAGGCTCTGCAGGCCATATAATTTCCACTGCCATGCTCAGTTCAGTTGTTATAGGATGAAAGGAGCCATAGTGTGTGTGTGTGTGTGTGTGTGTGTGTGTGTGTGTGTGTGTGAGTGCAATGAGATGTAAAGAATTTAGCTACTTTTTTTTTTCAGTGCTAAGATTGAAACCAGGACTTTGAGCTTGAATGTAGCTATATCCTAAGAATGCTTCTTTTTAAAAAATAGTTAATTTGGAAGTGCACTGTGGCTCAAGTGGTAAAGTGCTAGCCTTGAGCTGAAGAGCCGAGGGACTGCGCCCAGGCCCAGACTTCAAATCCCATGACTGACAAAAAAAAAAAAGAATAGTTAATTTAAATCTTATCATCTTTACATAGTTGTATGAAGAGGTTTAATTCAACATGTCAGTGAATACAATGCATCCAAAGCAGAGTAGATTGGTTCCAGTGGCTCATGTCTGTATTCTTAGCTACCTGCCTATATTCCTAGCTATATTTCTATTCTCCTAGTTAGAGAATAGAAAGCTGGTGGTTAGAGGCCAATGTGAACAAAAACATACACAAGACCCCTTCTCAACTGAGAGCTGATTTGGGTGGTGAGTTCCTTGTCATCCTAGAAAAATACACCTAACATAGACACATTGAGCTCAGACATGCATTCAGACAGTAACTTAGAGTCAATTTCAAAAATAACCAGCCAAAAACAGGCTTAGAGGTGTGGCTCAGTGGGAGGAGAGTTTGTCTAGCAAGAACAAGGTCTTGAGGTCAATTTCCAGCAATGTCAAAACACACAGAGTGGATGAGATTTGGTCAATAAGCTTTAAGTTGTCATCCCAGATTCTATATGCAACTGTTAAAAAATTGTGTTTTGATTAACAGATGACAATTTTAAAAATTAGGAAACTAAGCTTTTTTTTTTTTTGGCTGCAACTGCCATCTTCCAGTAATTTGCCAAAATGGCGAACACAAAGGGAAAGAGGAGAAGTACTTGATACATGTTTTCTAGGCCTTCAGGATACATGGAATTGTTCCTTTGGGCCCATACATGAGAATCTACAAGAAGGGTGATATTGTAGACATCAAGGGAATGAGTACTGTTCAAAAAGAAATGCCCCACAAATGTTACCATAGCAAGGGCTGGGAAGGTGGCTCAGTGGTAGAGTGCTTGCCTTGCATGCATGAGGTCCCGGGTTCGATTCCTCAGCACCACATAAGCAGAAAAAGCCAGAAGTGGCTCTGTGGCTCAAGTGGTAGAGTGCTAGCCTTGAGCTGAAGAGCTGAGGGACAGCGCCTAGGCCCAGAGCTCAGGCCCCATGACTGGCAAAAAAAAAAAAAAAAAAAAAAAAATATTACCATAGCAAAACTGGAAGGGTCTATAATGTTACCCAGCATGCTGTTGGCATTGTTGTGAACAAGCAAGTTAAGGTCAGAGT